AGTGACCTGGGGAAAGTACATCTCTAGAGGAAGAGATGACTGTTGAGTTGTTTTTTTTTTAAATAATAGATTGGCACAATTTTATTTTCCTCAAAGGCACAGGTTCTTTTGAGTGTGTCTTGGGATCAAATAACAAAATTTGCTTTGGGTGTTTGCATCACACTAGACTTGGCAATACTCAACCTGTCTAAGCCAATCTTGTGTCCTCTATTTTACAGTCTGTCCCACTTGCCTTTTCCAGTGAAATTATTATTAGTATTATTACCTATAATTAAGATTATAGCTTATCAAAGCAGGAAAAGATATATCTGCTTTAACTTGCTCAGTTTATAAATATGGAAAACTAGGAACTTAATTATAGTAATAATAAAGCATTTACTGAAATTAGCACATGCCAGACACTATGTTAATTTAATTTAATTCTCATAACAATTTCTTGTAATCATTATTATTCCCATTTTATAGACAAGAAACTTAGAGTCTTAGATTTAGCAACTTACTCAAGGTCACACTTTCAATAAATTGAAGACTAGATTCCTGACTCCAGAGTTTAATTCCAGAGTTTATACCATTAATTACCTTTAACAAGTACCTTTTAACAGGGGAGACCAAAAATCTCAATTCATAACCTAAAAGGAGTGTCATTTCCAGTATAGGGGTACATGATATATTCTATCATAGTCTTTATGGAGTTGAGGGAAAGAAAAAACACAGTAAACATATCTCTACATCTCCCCCAAATTTTCTAAAGAAAACATTTTAAAATATATTTATGGAAATATACTCTAACTTCCAAAATACCAATGAGATTGTTATAACCTTCTGATAGTCATTATAAGGTGAGACATAAATAGGATCTTAAATGGAAGTCATAGGATATCAAGTATGTTCACATATAAATGACATTTAAATAAATAATTAATATACATTTGAAAACGTAAAATCACATAGTATGAATTTATATTAACATTGCTTAGAGTTTATAATTATAGCAAGACATGGTGAATTCATATTTGATTTAAATATTTTAAAATAATAACATATAATCACAAACCTACACCTATTCTAGGTACATAAGAGACCATTAGAGTTCTTTTAT